GTACATCAGGGGTGTGTGCTGACCCCCTTATTGCTTAATTTATATATCAACGATATGATTTCTGCTGTCTCTGCCCAGGACTGTATTCTCCATCTATTGCTAATATTAAAGTTTCTATCCTACTTTTTGCTGATATTGCAGTTCTGTCAAGAACAACATCAGGACTGTCCTCTCTGACAGAGGCTTTTTGTCTCTTACTGGCTGGAAGAACACCTGATAGTTAATGATCAAAAATCCAAGATCATTGTTTTTTGGGGGGAATCTCATGTACATCACAAGTGGAAAATTCAGGGGAATGATATTGTGGAGGTTCCCTACTTTAAATATTTAGGGGGCTGGTTTGACTTCTTCAGACTTATTTCCATTTATTCTTTGCATCCTCCTGGGCTGAATCCTTCTGTACCAAATTGAGACCTAGGTTTTCTGTCTCATTACCAGTGCTGATATCTCCATGCCTACTGCCCCTCTGTATATCACACCTAATCCAATCAAGCCTGCTATTACCATTCAGCATTCAAATCATCTGCATGAAGTTTATATCTCCGGTACCTCATGCTACATTTTATGGTACACATAGCCTAGCCCAACAAAGTGACATTTATGTCAAATCTGGCCCTCATAACAAATGAGTTCAACACCCCTGGTGTAGCCCTCCAAACTGAATTGGGACAACCACCTTTTGAAGCTCGGGCTTGGATGAAAGCTTTCCCCTTTGAAGTTAAAATTATACACTCTGACATCCATGAGGGCTACCTCAGCTTAGTCAGAGAGGACTGGGATAAACCTGTTCAGCAATGACTACAGCTCCTCAACCTTTCCTTGGACTCCCTTTATGCAGTAACTAGACATGAAGCCAAAAAAACAATGAAGAAACATCTATTTAAGTATGATTATAGCAGTACAATCTGTAGAGCATGACATGTTTGTTCTACTTAGCTTGTTGATATTCTTCCACCTGGAGAACTTCCCAATTACTGCTCATATTTGACTGTTCCTCACTATAGGCATGTCTTTATGTTGGTGCACCTTAACACCCTACTATCTAGAGTTTTGCAAGGGAGGCATCATACTCTGATAAGAGTATGTGATTGTGGTGCAGGTAGTGTAGACACCCTGTATCACGTGACCTTTGAATGTAATTACTTTTCTGAGTCTAGAAATCTTTTAATTCTTCTTCGCTGCAAAATATAGATCAGATGGAGACATTGCCTCTTTTATTAGAAGATAATAGCAGACCTATCACTCTTTTAGCTACAAAATTTTATGAATCTGTAATAGACTTTTGCAGCCATTCAAATGGGGGTCTAGCTTTTCCTATATTTTAGTAATCTGCTTAAAACTAATAAATTAAGTAGGTAGGTAGATGATAGATTAGACTGAGAGGAAATTATATTTCCAGGGCTACCCAATGTATTTCAAACATTCAAACCTAATGCTGTACTAACTACACCAGGCAGAGTGTCTATTATAAAGCATCCTAAAATGAATTATTTATTTATTTATTTATACTTATACCCCGCCCTCCCCGTAAACAGGCTCTGGGCGGCTTACAGAAGACGGCAAAGTATGCTGAATTAGCATAAAACCATAAAACATTAAAATAATATAAAATATTCTTAACGTTACAACAATAACATTTAAAGTGCTCACAGTATTAACATAGATGGCGTGAATTTCCATTCCAGTAATCTCCTGATCTTACAGCCAGTCCTATGGTCCAGATATTAAATGGTGTGGTCCATAGTGGGCCAGTCCCATTCCAGATGTTCAATGGAATAGTTGTTGGTAACGGTGGGGGTGGCAGCTCCTATTTAACAGCCTGGCAGAAGAGCTCTGTCTTGCAGGCCCTGTGGAACTGTGCAAGGTCCCGCAGGGCCCTGATATCCTCCAGGAGCTCATTCCACCAGTAAGGAGCCACCACCGAAAATGCCCTGGCCCTGGTGTCAGCGAGCCTCACATCCTTGGGGCCTGGAATAGTTAAATGTTGTTGCGCCCCGGACCGTAGTGCTCTCTGGGGTATAAATGGGGAAAGGCTGTCCCTCAGGTAAGCTGGACCCTGGCCATATAGGGCTTTAAAGGTAAGAACCAGCACCTCGGAGCGAATTCGGTATGCTATTGGCAGCCAGTGCAATAGCCTAAGCACAGGCTGGATGTGCTTCCGACGCGGGAGATCCATCAGCAGCCTGGCCGCAGCATTCTACACCAGCTGCAGCTTCCGGATTTGGGAATGTTGCAGTTAGGCTGGGTGGATATGCACCCTTAATTATTTAAATCTTTTCCTACACTCTGTGACACTCTTACAGCAAATGTGTAGAATTTCAGAGATTTGTTTCTCTCTACAATGTATTAAAAAGGTAAAGGTTCTCTTGCTTGAAAGCCAGTCGAGTCCGACTCTAGGATTGCGGTGCTTATCTCCGTTTCAAAGCCGAAGAGCCAGCGCTGTCCGAAGACGTTTCCGTGGTCATGTGGCCGGCATGACTAAACACCAAGGCGCACAGAACGCTGTTACCTTCCCACCGAAGCAGTACCTATTTATCTACTTGCAATTTCTTGCTTTTGAACTGCTAGGTTGGCAGGAGCTGGAACTAGAGACGGGAGCTCACTCCGTCACGCGGCAACTCGGGTCTTGAACTGCTGAACTACTGACCTTCCACAGCCTGCAGTTCAGCGTCTTAACCACTTGAGCCACCGCAGCTCCTTTACTCTTTTACTAAATACCACCTAACCCTGGAAGTAATTATCAGTGCAATCCTGAGCAGAGTTAAACCCTTTTAAGTCACTTGAGTTCAATGGACTTAGGGGCGTGTAACTCTGTTTAGGATTGTAAGGTAAATACTGTACTGTATTTATAATGCAAGCAAGACATCTATATACTTGAAAATAACTCCCACTCCCATTTAGAGATGTTACCAAAGAGAGCAAAATATTAGTTAAGAAGATACTGCATTTGCAGTACAGTGAATATATGGTTAGAATGTATGCTGTTTCCACTATATCTGAAAATTTTTGAGTCTCCTTTAGTTCCACCTGCCTTTATTCACCCCCATCAAGCCAATGAAATCTGAAGGATCATCTCAAAGTTAGCACTATGAATAGAACCAGTATGGTGTGCAGTAGGGATCCCCATTGTGGTGCCTGACAACACCTTTCCACTTGCCTACCAAGTTTTTTTAGAAAGTGGGTGTGGCTTTTACCTGCAAGGCTTCTTATTGGTCATTGGGGATTTGATTGACTTTGCAGATTTTTTAAACTATTGCTTTGACAGCAGCTGCCACCACAGCACAAGGATCTTCACTGTGTGGCTGAAGGTAAGCCACAACAGCTTTTTTTGTGGCTGGCTCTGCCTCCTATGGCAGTCATTCTGTGGTTGTGCCCACCATTCTGTGTCAGAATTCCAAAGGGAACCATAGGCTCATAAATCTTAGGGACTTCTGGTGTACATAGACCCCTAGGTTCAAATCCTTTTTCAGGAAAGGAAGCCTGCTGGTTACACAATCTCAGCCTAATCTAACTTACAGGGTTGTTGTAAAGATAAAATAAAGGACAAGAGCCTCCTCTGCAGGCTCATAGCAGGGGGTGCTGCTGAGAAGGGTAATGCCCCCTCCAATACATACCCTGCCCCCTTACCAATCATGGTTTTGAGGAGTATTATGTCACAGAGACAAATCATGTATATCTGTCAATTAGAAGAAGCACAGGTGCACATTAGATCATAGTTTTTGGCACTGACTAGAAGGGTCAATTATATGAATTGTGAAATAGTGTCTCCTACAGGCCAAACCAAGCTATGTATTTTACAAATTATACCCTTAATGTTAATACAAGCAATTTTATGAAAATGACCAAGAATAATTCTGTAAAATATCTGGAAGAACTAAAATGAATAATAAATATATAGATCAATACATCTATGAAAGCTTAATGATGCAAGGTATTTTGTAACACTAAAATAATTCATGTAAAAGAGTTTAATGCTTTAAAATATCATTGTAAGGATGTGTTTTTATTCTGATGTATTTGTAAACTGAAAATAAGTTTCCAAAATGTTTTAAAATACTTTATGTGCCTATATTAAGTGTAAAGAAGAACAATGGTAGTAACTGAAGCTGAGAACTTAGTACTGAGAATGAACCCAGCTTGAAAAGTTCCGTGAAAGGTAACAGAAGACTGGGAGTAATGCTAAGGAGAAAATAAAGTTGTAAATCAGAATTAATGAGTTTCACCTGTGCTGTAGGAGTAGGAAACTCTGCCAATTACCATTTTGTATGCCAAATATGTAATTGATGACTGACAAGACAAAGAGAACTGAACTGAGCATGCCTAAGTGATGTCAGTGATGATGTAAAACAAGGAGGAGCAGAAAAGAGCATATAAGTCTGCTCCCTGCATCTATTTGTTGAACTTCCCAGGCTGAATTAAGCTGTAGGGGAGTTCCTTTATTTGAATAAATACTTTTACTACCCTTTACTGCCTGGAAGATTGTTTTCACTGTTTTATTGGCTAGCCACACAAGTCAAAGAACCTTAAGCGCCTTTAGCGTATTGGCAACAGGACCATCAACCTTTATCATCTGGGCTCCCTTGGCTTATCGTCGGGCAAGATGTTTATTTATTTATTTATTCTATCAGCTTGTATCCCGCTTGAACCCCCCAAGGGGTCTCTGAGCGGCTTACAGTTACTCTTTATCCCTATCTATGGCCACATAGTCAGGGGTGGGGACTGCCCTACCGGCACCCAGTGGAGGGACTTGCTGTTCTTTTCCCCGGTTTGGCTTATTGTCGGCTCGGCTTTCGGTTTTTGGTTCTTCTTCTTCTCCTTCCGGTGGTCTTCGGCGTCGGCTGTATTTGGCGGACCCATCTGGTGCGCGGTTCGCGTCAGCGCGGCTTTGGCTCCGTCCATTTTGGCTCCGCTGCGCCTGCGCCTCCACATCCCTTGCGTTCTTTTGCTCCACCTTCCACCGACGTCTGATCTACCGCTGGTGTTGCGCCTCCTTCTGCCGCCGATGCTTCATCAGACCCCACAATGGGGAGGGTGCTCCCTGCCACCTAGGGCAGGTACCCATTTATCTACTTGCTTTTTCGATGTTATTTTGCTTTTGAACCGCTGGGTGGGCGGGAGCTGGGACTAGGGCCAGGCGCTCACCCTGGCCGTGGTGGGTTTCGAACCGCTGTAGCAGTTTCACAGATTTTACCAGCAGGCTTTTAACCGCCTGCGCCACCGCTCCCATTTTTGGATTAAGAACTGCTCTTGCAGGCTTTTTCTCTATTTTCCTATTAATGTTATTTTTCAAGTGGTTTTCAGTGGATTGTTTTCTGTTCCCAGCCACTGTATGTGAGGTTCCTTGTGGGCTTTTTTTTTGGGGAGGGAGGCTTGTATTCAGCATTGCCCCCTACTGTATTGGGTCACCTGGTTTGCTTTGCCTGAGTTTAGCAGTTTTAAGTTGTGCTGGTCAATTTTCACTTTGTTTACTGCTGCTGCTAATTAGAGCCGGGTTTCTTAATGGGGGATCGGCATCGGTATTTTCTTCTCTGTATATAGACATATACTTTAAAAAAAAGTAGAGGGAATCTCTAACCAGTATTTTTTTCTTGGCACATGGCTGGCTCCCTAAATGTTTTCCAGCACTGGGGGTGAGTTTTGGTCAGTGACTCAGTTTTGAGTGGGCATGCTCTTGGCACCATTCTGCAACCCCCCCCCCTGTATTTCCCTCTATAGAATTTAAATGTGTTTTGATTTATTTGATTACTTAATATGTAATTATTAAAGTACTGTGCAGGCTTTCTTTCAAGGTACGATGGATGGTATAATACTGTAGTTTCAGTGAATAACCAGAAATGTTCTTATTAAGTTCATAGCATAATTAGAATAAATATCAGAGGCCTCAGCTAGTTAAGCCTGCAGTTTATAAGTAATAATATTTGATTAAGCATATAGTAATAACTAATCTTATATATATAAAAGGCTTACATATTGACACTTTCTGGCTCTCCCATTGGCTGTGCTTTACACTCCATCAGCCATTGCCCCATCAACCGCCACTCAAGAGTACTCGCATGCCATTGGCTGGGTGCTGGGTCTGCTCCTCTCCCCCACCCACTGCCAGTCTGGCCACTTCCCTGTTTCATTATACCCTGATGAGGTCGCTTCCCTCCTGTTTGGGTCCCCACTGTGGAGAAAGACTGTACTTTTCCTAGGTAGAGGCCGCAAGTGGTGAGGAGATGGAAAGCTGAAGTCAAGGGGCAGATAAAGGTAGGTTCATGGTTGGCTCGGAAGGAGATAGGGTTGCAAACTCCAGGTTGGTAAATTCCTGGAGATTTGAGAGTAGAGCCTGGAAATGGTGGGGTTTGAGGAGGGGTGGGACCTCAAACAGGTACAGTGCCATAGACTCCACCCTCTAAACCAGCCATTTCCTCCTGGGGAACCATTGTTGCCAATTCCCAAGTGAGGGCTGGAGATCACTCAGAATTACAACTGCACTCCAGATGTCAGAAATCTGGAGAAAATGGTGGACTCTGTGTCATTATACCCTACTGAGGTGGCCCCCCTATGACAGCAAGTGTGATGCAGCAGTTAGCACTTCAGAGCAGGGTCTGCCAGACCCAGGTTCTTCCTGTGGAAGCTGATTGGGTGATTTCAGACCAGTCACAGACTTTCAGCCTAACCTACCTCACAGGGTTGTTGTGAAGATCAAAAGGGGGAGAGGAGAATGATGTCAGCTGCTTTGGTCCCCACTATGGAGAAAGACTGTACTTTTCCTCCTGGGGAATCATTGATGCTAATCTCCAGGTGAGGGCTGGAGATCACTCAGAATTACAGCTGCTCTCCTAGTCATTAATAAATATCAAATAAATAGGTAAGCAGTTATTTTTTCATACTTTTTTGGGTTTGCTTAGTAGTTAGATCTCTGCCTGAGATCCTGAAGAGCCACTGCTCTCCACCATGTGAAACTGCCAACTTAACAAAAAATTGCCCCCAACAAAAAATTTCTGGTTACGGGCCTGATCCTCTGAGGTCTGGTGTGTAGGATTAAGCTTACATATCCTGATAGCATACAGGAGACTCCTGCAGCTTCAGCAACAGGCTTCTTTAATGCTTCACACAAACTTGGAACTTCAACCTACACAAACTCAGAACTAGAACTTTGAGGCTCCTCGATGGGGGAAATAGAAACTAGTTTGTGAGGACTCATGTACACACATATATATATATGTATATCACAAGGGTCCCCACTGGGGAGAAAGATATATTAGATATATTATGAAATATATATTAGAAAGATATATTATGTTAGCATACAGGAGACTCCTGCAGCTTCAGCAACAGGGCTTTTTAATGCTTCACACAAACTTGGAACTTCAACCTACACAAACTCAGAACTAGAACTTTGAGGCTCCTCGATGGGGGAAATAGAAACTAGTTTGTGAGGACTCATGTACACATATATACATCTATGTATATCACAAGGGTCCCCACTGGGGAGAAAGATATATTAGAAATGAAGTAAATAAAGAATTAATAAATAAAAGGAATGAATGGTGGTAATATTGGCATAATTCAAGGACAGTTTACATTAAATACTGACCCATGAGTTCAACATTAATGAAACATACTTTCCTACTTAATCCAGCATCTAGTGTCTTGCTTGCCTTTTTCAAATGCTCTTGGAGTCCAAGAGCTTGCACAATTCTGAAAAAAAGAACCACATATGGTTTATTCTGAAACTGATTCCTTTCACATGAGAATAAAAACAGTACCAAAAAAAGAATAAAAACAATACGGTATTCCAAAAACATCATATAATTTTGCTCTAAGTCTTCCCTCCTCTGCAGGACCAGTTAGATTGAGTTCCCCCTTCCAAGCCAGCATCCTTTATACTTGCTTGAATAACAAGCAAGTAGTTGTTGTCAGGTTGCAACCAAAATGGCAACCCCATAGAGTTTTCAAGGCAAGAACAGAGGTGGTTTGCCATTGCCTGCCTCTATGCAGCAGCCCCATTCCATTCGTTGTTTAAACATAAACTCTCAGTGGCTGTTCTGGACCATTGGGTCGAATGAACAGTAACAGAAAGGCAAGAAAGAATTATTCCTCCCAAAATATTCAGGAATGCTTCAGTAAGCTTGGTTGCAAACTCCAAAGAGGTAGCCCTATTAGTCTGTTGCCACAAAAATAAAAATATGTCTTCTGGCACCTTATAAACAAACACATTTATTGTAGCACAAACTTTCATGGACTAGAGCCCATTTCATCAGATGCTTGAAGTGTATCCTTATTTGGCTATGGTTATAAACATTTATTCCAAAATGTCAATAATGATGTCAAAATGGGCATAAAATACAAGAGAACAGGCTGCAATATTTCACTGTAAAATATATTCAATATATGCATAAAGATTCCCAATCATGATAATTAGCTACCTCCCAAAATATTCAGGAATGCTTCAGTAAGCTTGGTTGCAAACTCCAAAGAGGTAGCCCTATTAGTCTGTTGCCACAAAAATAAAAATATGTCTTCTGGCACCTTAAAAACAAACACATTTATTGTAGCACAAACTTTCATGGACTAGAGCCCATTTCATCAGATGCTTGAAGTGTATCCTTAGTTGGCTATGGTTATAAATATTTACTCCAAAATGTCAATAATGATGCCAAAATGGGCATAAAATACAAGAGGACAGGCTGCAATATTTCACTGTAGAAGGTATTCAATATATGCATAAAGATTCCCAATCATGATAATTAGCTATAGCACATTGTCCCTAGTGATACTAAACTAACATCTTAATGTATGGGAAATGCCTTGCTCAGTTCATGCTATGGTCAACATTGATACATTCTAATTCATGAACTTCATGCTGGTATACCCCTTTCAACTGAAGAATTTTGTTGAAGAACTGTGGCTTTGAGGTCAGCAACATAGTGCCTTGGGAGGCTGCAATGTTCTCCCACAGTTTTCAAAATTTTGCTATTTTATGCTAGATTACAATCAGGGCCGGCTCCAGGTTTTTCTGCACACTAGGCGAGGCTGCCTTCTGGTGCCCCCCCCCTCGGGGTGCCCACCAATTTGCGCCCACCAATGTGTTTTTGTGCTCTGACCTTTAGGGGTTCGAAAGCCCACAATCCCAGTGTCTTTGCTCCTGATCTGGTCAATTAGCACAGTAATATAATCAAAAAACATAAAAAGGCGGCCCGCAATTTACCACCCTGTTTAGGCGAGGGAGGGGAGGGGTGGCAGGCCGGGAGGTGCCCCCTCTTAAGGGGCCGCTCTAGGCTGCTGCCTAAAAATTGTCTATGATGGGCCAGCCCTGATTACAATGCAATTGAAAAGGCATTATTGAAAAATAATGATAATTCTATTTATATGGCTAATGTTCAAATATGTAAGAACCTCTATTATGGCCCCTTCCACTTCCCAAAATGTCAACATTCACAATGACTGGTTTTCCTAACCTAGCAAATCTGGAAAGGGGAAAGTAAGAGACTTCATTCTCAGTATCCCATAACTCTCACATGAATCATCTAAGCAGGACCTTTCACTCCTCATACCTATGGATAGCAACTGCAGCAGCATCTTTCCTTATTCCTTTCACAGCTGCATAAATCTCCAGATGTTCTCTCATGGTCAGGTTGGACCAAAGGGCATTCTCCTGAGGACAGTAGCCAAGAAAACCTGTAGTGTTTTCTAGTGTTGCTTGTGCTATAACTTCACTGGCCTTTTTTATCAGCACCTGTTCAAAATATCTGGAGTTATGATCGTCTTTAAACTTGTTCACCATAAATGCAACTTTTAAAATTTCAAAGAGTGCACAGGGGAGACATGTAATGAACCAAATGTGGGACAATTAATTGGGAAAATCTGTAGCAGCACCACAAAGTCCTAGTAAAATGGGGGGGGGGGCTAGGTGGCAATCAGTATTCCAACTACTAAGGTAAGGAGCAATTGTGCAGGTGAATTCCACAACAAACATTACTAAATTCAGTATTCTGAACTTTGCTGATAAAATAATCTTTGTTAAATCTTATTATGTGACTGCTTTTCTATTTACATAATTCATTTTGGTTGGAGAGAGAACCATTATCTAAAAGAGGTATAGAAAAAAAATGGGAAGGATGAGGAGAAAGGCTATAGATTGAGAGTGAATAGATGGCTACACGGGTTAAAATTTATTTGGTGTGCTAGGGAAATGTATCCTCTGATATATTTACATAGAGGCTGAAGAATAAATATCATTAATATTACTTATTTGTGTTATAAAAAGGCCAACGGTACCTGTCCAGCAGTTGGTTCTGTGTCTCCTGTTATCATACTGATTGTTGTACTTTTACCAGCCCCGTTGGGCCCCAACAGCCCCCAAACTTCTCCTAGAACAAACATACATGCATTTTTTTTTTTTTGGTAAACAAATTTTATTTTCAGGAATACAACATGTAAAATTAAATCATTTCATTCTTTCAATTGTCTACCCCATTCCCAGTTCCTCCCCTCCCTCCATTGGCTTCCCACAATGCTTCCACCCCTGCTCCAAATTGCTTCATATCATCAACAATATCAGTTTCTTATCATTACAATCTAAAGATAACATCATTTGACTTAATATTGGTCTAAACATATTAAGTGATTACAATGCAATTGAAAAGGCATTATTGAAAAATAATGATAATTCTATTTATATGGCTAATGTTCAAATATGTAAGAACCTCTATTATGGCCCCTTCCACTTCCCAAAATGTCAACATTCACAATGACTGGTTTTCCTAACCTAGCAAATCTGGAAAGGGGAAAGTAAGAGACTTCATTCTTAGTATCCCATAACTCTCACATGAATCATCTAAGCAGGACCTTTCACTCCTCATACCTATGGATAGCAACTGCAGCAGCATCTTTCCTTATCCCTTTCACAGCTGCATAAATCTCCAGATGTTCTCTCATGGTCAGGTTGGACCAAAGGGCATTCTCCTGAGGACAGTAGCCAAGAAAACCTGTAGTGTTTTCTAGTGTTGCTTGTGCTATAACTTCACTGGCCTTTTTTATCAGCACCTGTTCAAAATATCTGGAGTTATGATCGTCTTTAAACTTGTTCACCATAAATGCAACTTTTAAAATTTCAAAGAGTGCACAGGGGAGACATGTAATGAACCAAATGTGGGACAATTAATTGGGAAAATCTGTAGCAGCACCACAAAGTCCTAGTAAAATGGGGGGGGGGGCTAGGTGGCAATCAGTATCCCAACTACTAAGGTAAGGAGCAATTGTGCAGGGGAATTCCACAACAAACATTACTAAATTCAGTATTCTGAACTTTGCTGATAAAATAATCTTTGTTAAATCTTATTATGTGACTGCTTTTCTATTTACATAATTCATTTTGGTTGGAGAGAGAACCATTATCTAAAAGAGGTATAGAAAAAAAAATGGGAAGGATGAGGAGAAAGGCTATAGATTGAGAGTGAATAGATGGCTACACGGGTTAAAATTTATTTGGTGTGCTAGGGAAATGTATCCTCTGATATATTTACATAGAGGCTGAAGAATAAATATCATTAATATTACTTATTTGTGTTATAAAAAGGCCAACGGTACCTGTCCAGCAGTTGGTTCTGTGTCTCCTGTTATCATACTGATTGTTGTACTTTTACCAGCCCCGTTGGGCCCCAACAGCCCCCAAACTTCTCCTAGAACAAACATACATGCATTTTTGAAGTACACTAAATCCAAGCATGCCTGCATCAGTCCAAAGGAAAATGATTAAAACAGTGCTGGCAATATTTGTAACAGGTATTGTATTCTGAGGATTAAATCAGATGCTTCAGTGATTACCTTAAAAAAAAAAACTATGAAAGGAATATTCGAAGTCTTGACAAATGGAGCTGAGGTATTTGACAAAAGGGGACATTATTGTTATAATTAATTTTTTAAAATTACATGAACATATAAGTGTTTAAAATGAATAAACATCAAAAATATAATATTTATTAATTTAAAATGTCTCTATGCCACCTTTCTACCCAAATAAAGTCCCCAAGAAGGGAAACATCAAACATTAAAACATTTCAACATTAAAAGCATTTAAAATAAAGTCTATATACAATAGGAAGAGCAGGGATCCACAAAAAGGTAGTTTTCATGGTACAGCAAATATTTCTGGAAATAAATACGAAGTAGAAGTGATTTTCGTCAGGTTCAAATTATAATACAATAAAAACGTGTTTCAGCTAACCTTTTTTAACGCAAAAAGAGACATTTCTGGTGGCTACTTTCTTTTTCTCATTGTTCTTCTTGCAACAGGAACAAGCCTTTCTGATTCTGTATTCCTTGCGCAGGTTATGGACAATGATAACTGGTTTCTAAGTAAGAAAGAGAAGAGAGGCGCTTGCATAATTTATATATACATAATCTTCTCCTATCCTCCTTCTCTGGTTCAAGGCAGTCTCCTTTAGGGAGGAATGATGCTGTACAGCTGACTCATTCATGGCACTACACTACTTTTGCAGGTAGGCAAGACCAGGGAATAGATTGGGCTGGACATCAAGCCCTGGGTTTCTATATCTGCAGACATTACTTCAAAGGTATCATATTAGATGTCAGCATGTCATCAAGCTCCCTTATTATTATTCCAACTATTGCCATAATAGATACAAGATTTTGTGACTGCGCCATCCCCCCGGGTGAGGTGCGGGAGGGCGGGGCCTGGAGCTCCCTGCTGGTGCCCGCTGGAGGTCGCCGCCGGCTGTGGGGAGGACACACTTCTGGTGATGTCAGGGGGTGTGGCATATGCTAATGAGTTATGCTAATGAGTCCCCCTAGCTCTTTTTCTACGAAATGACCCCTGATTGCCACAATAGATACAAGATTTTGTGACTTTGGTGAGGCTTTTGGAAGCAGTTGACTGATCTGATGTGATGGTGTAGAATGTTCACAAATATTTTACCTCCTGAAGGAAGCTTGTCAGCAGTAGAATGTTTGCATCTGTCTGTATCTATGAGCCAAAGGAAGAGTGCTCAAGAATTAGGGCAGAGAATAAGAAGGCAGTTTTGTGGAGGAAAGACAGACAACACAACAAACTGGAAAACACAAATCTGAGAGATAGGTAGGTAGAGAGAGTGGGGCACTTGAACGTAGGGAGTGCAGATGAGAGAGGTGAGAAAAATGAGCTAATGAAAGGAAGGGTTGCTGCAGAAAACCTCAGAGCACTTGGACAAAATGGGCATGGGAAACAGATAGAAGCTGAGGCAGGAAATATGGCTGGAAGCCATGCTGGCAAAAAGAAAGAGAGCCATTTTTATTTTTTAAGTTCCACCAAGACATTCCAATAAAAGGCAACTCATCATCTCAACTGTCACCATGCATTGTTGTGCAAACTGCATATGAACAAAGTTTAAATTTAGAGTTATTAGGTTCTGAAGAAGTCCTATGTTGGCAGTGTTCACAGGCTAAATGACCATTTATGAATATACGGTATGTTTGCCCCACAGCAAAAAAGTATTGGCATGGTATCTGGGAAATTATCAGTGAGGTTTTGAAAAGTAATCTGTCCCATAAACCTGTGCTGGTTTTGTTTGGACAGATACAGGAGAATTTGGAAAGGGAAGATTACTAAGTAATCTTACAGTGGCTGCGGGATTACTCCTATGAAAGCATTGGAAGCAGAGGGTAATACCCTCAATGGAACATGGTTCAGAAAATGCTGGTTTATTGTGTTGATGTTAAAATGTACAAATAATTAAGAGAGAAGACTATTATGCAGACTGTTAAAAGATATACACTTTTATTGTTTGCAGGAATAATATGAAACCAGAGGAAAATGTAAAATTAGAAGTATTTCGTTGTGTATTTTGCTATTTTGTATTTTTGTAATTAAAAAAAAAGTACCTTTAAGTCCTACAATAGTTCTGTTTCACAAGCATATATAGAATCAGTCATTTTGTTAAATCTGAACAGCAAATTATTTAAATAAGGACCAGAATAATATATAATATATATTTTACCTCTTCCTGATCTGCTGAAGATAGAGCATTTTGAACTCTTGCCCTTTCATCTCGAACATCTCCGTCATCATCTTCACTGGGTTCTTCAGGATTCTTATGGATGCTCTTTCTCTGTGGAGAAATCCTAGAGATCAAGAGCATCACAAAGAGATAAAGGACCATGCAACAAGGAAGTATTTGCAAAAAGGAATGCAGCAAATGATGTGCAATAATGCTACAATCTAGACCAACAGGCAAATTAAATATTCAGGAAGTCCTGCCATCACATACCTAGCTTTAAATAAAAGTTTTTATTGAAAGAAAGAATAACAAATAACAGAGAAATAACAAAACAACAAAAGAAGAAGAAGAAACAATATAAAATAAAATAAACATATCTATTTATGAGGGACAGCATTCCCCCAAAGCAATATATTTAGGCAGAAGGTTTTTCATATCCCTATTTGAAATATTATATCATTTTACAACAAGGACCCACAAAGAACTCATGGAGCAGAGAAAAACCCATCTTTTGCTACCCTCAGCCTCCTGCCTCTACATCCTTTCTTCTCCCCACCATCACTGCCACCTCACTCCTCCCCACCCTCCAACTGCATCTTTCCTTCCAGCACCACCTTGTATCCTCCCATACACACTTCCCCCATCTTTTCTTCCTTCCTCTTCCTCTCCTGTTGCCTCAAACTTTGGGGAAGGACTGTGGCTCAATAGTAGAGCATCTGTTTGGCATGTAAAAGGTCCCAGGTTCAATCCACAGCATCACCAGCTAAAAGGACCAAGTGGTAGGTAATATGAAAGACCTCCACTTGATATGCTGGAGAAATGCTGCCAGGCTGAGTAGATAATACTGACCTTGACAGATCAACGATCTCCTTCAGTGTAAGGCAGTTTCATATGTTCATGTGAGAACCTTGCCCCTTTCATCACCTCCTATTTACCACTATTACTGTAGGGTTGCCATACCCCTGGTCTGGGCAAGGGTTCCCTGATTTTCAGGGCTTCAGCCTGCCGCCCACCAGCTAGCCATTGGAGGAAGCCCTGCCCCCAAGCCCCACCCCCAAGCATCACCACCCATGGCCACTCCTCTCCCTTCTCTCCAGAGAGATTTAAAGGGCCCTCCAGCTGATCAGAGGGAGCATGTGGCCCGTCGATCAGCTGGAAGGCCCTTTAAATCTTGCAGGAGGGAGAGACAGGGGCACTGCAGCCACACACCTGAACTCCAAGCGGGAATTTAAAGGGTCACAGAATCATAGTGTTGGTAGGGACCTCCAGGGTGATCTACTCCATCCCCCTACACAATTCAGGAAATTCACAAATACCTCCCCTCCATACCCCCAGTGACTGTTGTTCCATGCCCAGAAGATGACAAAAAAACCCTCCAGGAACTCCAACCAAATTGGCCTGGAGAAAAATTGCTTACTGGCCTCAAAGTAGCAAAGTGAGTCCCTTTAAATGCTATTGGCCAGCAGGGGCTGGCCCTTGCGCCACTTGGAATTCAGGTGTGTGAAACCTCTGCTGCCCAGAAGCATTCAGAGAGAGAAAAACACATGGGGGGGGGAACCCCGAAGCAGTAGGAACACACAAGTCATGAAAATAAGAATGCAGAAGAGCCCTTTATCTTCTCTTCCTCTCCTGGCAGCCTTCCTAGCCTCTCTCCTTACTTGCTTCCTTCTCTCCCCCACTCTCACCCACCAGCCTACCTACTTTTACCAGCCCAGATTTCCTTCCTCCCCCCTGTCAGCTTCTTCTGTTCCACCCATCATACTACTTTTTTCAATTCCCCCTGTAGCTTCTCCTTCCCCTCTCATCTTCCCTAGCTTCTTCCCTTCCGTTCCATCTTTTAGCTTTTTAAGTGTCTCCATCTTTCAGTGTTTTCAATGTCTCCTCTGATTGACAAAACGCAAGATTTAAAGGTCAGCAATATAATTGTGGTTGACAACAAAAGCAAAGCTAAGACCTAGTACTTGTGAAAGGTAGAATAATGACAATCCGCATCTGGAATATATAATGCCAGACAACACAACATCTTGGAATAATAAAATTACCAGAGTAAAATTACCAAAAGTGTATTAGCACAGATGAGGCACACTATCCACAAGAAATATAAACACAGACAAAATGACAAGTTGTGCAAATAAATGGTATTTTAACACTAGTGCCTATAAAAATTGTAAAACATGACACAATCATTTACAAACTGTAAAAAAAAAATGAACTCAAAGGTGAGCCAGGGTCTGAACAGTGGTGACCAGCCAGACTACTAAAAAGGCAAAATTCTTCTATTTCAGATGGCTAGCAGTGTCTGCCTGGTGAAAGAGGTGATATTTGCAATAAGCCAAAGGGGCTCGAACTTATTGCAGCCCACCCCTGCATTTGCACAAGACAATTTCTTTCTTAATCGTCCTGGGAACAGAAGGAAGCCTGAGAACAGCCCCACCTGGGTGGTAAGAACTGTCATGCTCTGCTCTGGGGAACAGGTGGGAGATGCCCTTCCGAGGCCTCTTCTATTTCAGCTGACTAACGGCCTGCCCTCAGGCATAGACCTCGGGTGAACTTGGCACTATACTCTGCCCAGTTTTCTCCTTACCAACAGCTAGTCTGTTTTCTTTGCCTCAAGGGCACTTTGTTCAAGTAGACAGGATTGCTGCCTAAGCTTCTTTGATGGCTATTAAAATAATAGCAGTTCGCCTTGAGGCTTTAATCTTACTAGGTTTTATTTGTGATGTTTATAGTAGTTTAAAGCTGTTTAACATTAATTAAGTGGTTTAGTCCTTAAGCCATTTTACATTAATTAAGTAGTTAAGCTTACATTTAAGGGTGCCTAGATAGTAACTAAGATAATTGATTAAGGAAGATAGATAAGTTTAGCTAAGGTCTTTTATATGGTAATTAGGATTGCATATTATATGATATGTCACATGGGTTAAGAATTTTATTTCTCCTTCTTCCATTAATTGATATTCCTCAAAATAAAGTACAAGAGGCACTGTAATCAACTCCTAGTTCAGAGCCGCTTTAAGAACATAAGATGAGCCCTGCTGGATCAGGCATATGGTCCATCTAGTCCAGCATCCTGTGTCATACAGTGGCCAATCAGTTCCTCTGGAGGGCCAAAACAGGACATAGAGGCGGAGGCCTTCCCTCAATGTTGTTACCTGGCTCTGGGATTCAGAGGTTTAGTGTCTTTTAAAGCTGTTTATTCCTGTGGCCATCACTACATCCTCTGACAGCAAATGCCACATTTTAATCACTCTGTGTGTAAAGTAGTATTTCCTTTTATCCATCCTGAACCTACTGCCCATCAGCTCTATTGCATGCCATCAAGGTCTAATATTTTGGGAGAATAGAAGCTTATCATGTTAAATACACAAGAAATAAAAATGACTTTAACATACGATCACTTAGTAAATGCTCAGGGGAAAATCAAGACTTGGCAAGATATAAAAGATGAAGGAATAAATATTCAATGGTTGCTATATTACTAATCAGTTAGAATACTAAAGAAGATCATTAACATGGAAGGCAGAGCTATAAGAGATGCAACTGAGTTCAAACAGTTGATTACAAAACAAAAAGATCATGTACTACGAAGGATATATGAATGAATGAATGAATGTATTCACTGTCATTGACCAACACATAAACTGAAGGATATATAAGTTGTTACTCCAGCTAGAAACAGAAGAACAAGTGAAAAATGTATGATCAAATGGATGCTGAATTTTAGAGAGCAGATATCTATGGATCAATGGGAATGCTTCTGGGAAAAAGAAATCAAGTTTACAGCCAGCCAGGCATTAAGAGAAAACTGGTACAAAATGTTTTTTAGATGGTATATAACCCCAAAGGACATCGAGAAAGCAGACAAAAACTACAAAAGAAAATGCTGGAAATGCCAGACACAGATGGAACTTTTTTTCATACGTGATGGACTTACAAACCACCACCACCCCAAATGGAAGGAAGTACATGGAACATACAGAATATGTTAAAATTCAGCAGCTAGAATGATCTATGCAGCAAAATAGAAACTAGGTGTCTGCCCCTGCCTAGAAGAATGGGAATATAAACTTGCCGAATGTGCAGTAATGGCAAGAGAATAATTAATAATCAAAATGATGTATCACTAATTTCAATCTGGGAAGCGGGCAAAGCTTATTTTAGAGGTCTCATGATTAGCACTGCTGTCCACTTAAAGAAGGAAAGAAAAAAAGAAAGGGTATCGTTGATAAAGCAGATCCTATCTCTTGAAGAAATAATGTCATAGACTATGTTAAACACAAGGAGCTTAAAGTTATTTTTCTTGATGCCAAAAAAAATGCCATCATGTTGAGCACAGATGTATACTGAGTTGCCTATCAGCATTTGGCTTTGGGCAGCACTTTATAGATTGGGATAAAATAATCTATTCTAGGTCAATTGCATGGTTAGCATTACATAGGTCACACGGGCCAGATAACGTGGGGGGGGGGGGAGATGTGGCTGTTCGCCCTGGAGCAAAATAAAGCTCAGTTGCCCGATCACGGTCCCCCGAGTCTCCATGCATCGGCTGTTAGCTGGCAAACACACGGCAATGCTGCAGCGTGGCAAAGAAGCAGTGCAGCACGATCACACAAGCATTTCACGTTTGTGCACATGCGCAGTTCTGCAGAGCAGCACTGCTTTCACTTTTGTGTTTGTGTGCATGTGCTTACGAAAAACATCCGGCTTGGGACGGGCGACGAATGCCCCGGGATCCTAGCCCTCCCGCGATCAGACGCCCGCCTGTGCCACACATTTTCCGGATATTAGTGCACTTTCCTTGGTACTTTTTAATTACACATCTTCAGCGGGACGCCACAGGTTGGCAATGGATGCGCTATACTTCCCAGATGTTGCAGTGTGATCGTGCCCCCAAAATCTGCCCGACATTCATGCCTTTCGCGCGGCAAATTCTCCGTGTGATCGGGGCCATAACTCTTTATTTACTCAGTTTTGAAGTGAAGGGGTGTTATGCAGAATTGCCTGCTTTCTGCCCTGTTATTTACTATGTCTTTGAAAGTGCTAGCAATCAGGGGTCGTTTCGTAGAAAAAGAGCTAGGGGAACTCATTAGCATAACTCATTAGCATATGCCACACACCCTGACATCAGGGGCCCAGCGGTGGACCTGCAAGGCCGGCGGGAGTGCGAGGAAGCCCTGCCAAGGCCCTCCCTGGCCCCAGGCAGGCAGGGGTGGGGAGAAGCGGGGAGGAAGCAACTTACCCTCCCTCTTCTCCTGCCTCCTCCTGGCTGAATGAGGGCTGGAAGCAGGGCGGCCGGAAGCAGGGGGTGGGGCTTCGTCATGTGCCCCGCCCCCCGCACCTCACCTGGGGGAACTGCGATCCCCCGCGATCCCCCCAAATGACCTCTGCTACCAATTATGATTAGAGAGTCTAATCAGTTAATAGTTGTCAAAATCAATCATCGAAAAGTTAAACTAAGTTTTTATACAGATGATATTGTTGCCTTTATAATGGAACCAGCCTGCTCTAGCATGGAACTAAGAAATATTATTGATCTTTTTTCTGAAGTCCTGGGGCATAAACTTTAAAGCAGTAATTACAAACATTAAAAATCTGATTAATACCTGGGAGTCCTTCAATCTGTCTATGGGCCACATTAATGCAGTTCAAATTAAGGTGATGCTGAAAATAAATTATCTGCTTTTTAAAAAAAAACCCACAATAATCCTTAGGGTTACTCTGGGTGAGCGGCATGCAATGATAAACGTGTTTATCTGTGGAGATAAGAAGCCTAAGGTTAGACGGCAAATAGCCTGACCAAGCAGGACTTGGGAAGCTTTTTGATTCCCAACTTACAGTTATTGCATGATGCTGCAAGACGGACCTGTTTAGTGATTTGGGTATCAGATGCTTTATATTTAGGTAATAGTGTTTTGGAGCAAACTTATGTGAATGCCCTTGAGAACCTTAAAAGGATAGGAAAGGTATGTATAAGGGCAATAATATAACAATCAATGTTCAGGTGTGGGATTTATATTTTTTAAAAATCATGTCCTGGGCTATCTTCTTTAGCATTGGCAGTTAGGGAGCTGAATAAATTCCAGAGGTTTCACCTAGGTTCACTGAGACCGATTTCTCACAAGCCGCTGCTCTGCCCTCATGTTTCCCTTTGCCCCGCAGCTTTGCCCGATTTCCCATGCATCTACTCAATCCTGTTTTTTGAGGATCGAGTAGACACGGGGGAAATCGAGGCAAGGGGAATGCAAAGGTAGAAGACATATTTCTAAGGTCTATGAGCTTTTGCTTCAGCAAAACTTCCCTGTGCATAAGACTTCATTTTTCTTCACCAAATGAAATCATGATTTAGGATACGAGCTGTATGAGAGTTTTTTGGAAATATATTTTGTCTCAGGGTTCAAAGTAGCTGTTTTATTGAAAAGGAACTTCAGGAACAGACTGGAAAAGGAAAATCCTGAATTACAAGTTATTACAACACTTGGAACACTCCCCCGGCCTGAACTCAACAGGTATATTGGTTTCTTATCTCATTATATATGCTAAACTCATTCAGTCTTTGCATATGTATTCTCACCAAGAAGGGCTATACATCCTCTGTATTTTAGTGTATTTCTTTTTCATAATAGTATATTGGAATAATGATTGCAATGCAATGCAATATATTGGAATGTATTCCTTGACCCCTAAGAAAAGGATGCTGTTAATTAACTCCATGCTTGAGATGAGACAAATAGAGCATAACAACAAATGATCAGGATTATTCTTAACAATTAAGAAATACACTTTTACACATCCATCTCCTATTTAGACATATTTACTGCTTTGCTGTCCCCCTCCCAATTAAGTCCAAACAAATGGTGATCCTATGAACTTAGCTTGTTATTGCTGTTTGGCCTTTGCATATGTCAAAACATCTTCATTAAGTTGTATGCTAATTTGCTGTTCTCCTATGTAGAGTCAACTGTCTCTATATATGAACTGTTAACCTCCTTTCCAATGTGTCTGAGGAAGTGTGCATGCACACAAAAGCTCACACCTTGATTAAATCTTTGTTGGTCTTAAAGGTGCCACTGGACTAAAAATTTGTTCTATATCTCTACACTTCAACGATCTACATAAAATGATCCATCAAATTTATCTTAATCCCAAGAAATTTGCAAAGATGTATAATACCACTAGTAATTGTTGGTTTTGTCATCTTCAGTCAGCAGGATTTCTACATATGTGGTGGCACTGCCATTGCACCATGAACTACTGGAATAACATATGTGAGAAACTGAGGAAAGGACTAGGGATTTGTGTAACCTTAAATCTGAAAATCTTTTTACTGAATCATGTATCTGATTTTTCTGTGAAATATCAGGAAATCTTTTTAAATCTTATCATAACTGTGCAACTTTTTTTTTTGCACAGTACTGGAAGCTAAATAAGACACCAGGTATGCAGAAATGGTTAGATAAGGTCAAATAAGTTTATATGATTCTGAAGCTTACTATATTATAGACAGGTTACTGTCCTATATTATTTTATTGCTTATTGTCGTCTGTTAATTATCAAATTGAGGCAACTATGGAATTTTGCTTTTTAGAATTCTGAATATGTAAATTTTTCAGCATGGTTATTTTGTTTTTAAAAGCCAAACTCAGATTAACAGAGCCTAAACAAGAAACCTAGAAACCACTGAGAGATTATTGCATATGTCTAACATCACAAAGATAAGTTTAGACCTAGAGAACGAGGACTGTGTTTAAACCTATTTGATTTTCAATGTATTCAGATGTTGTAGTCTTTTGAAGTTCAAATGCAATTGATACAATCAATTGTACACGATATTATTTAAAATAAAAAAATATTTTTCTGAAAGTGGATTTATTTGGTCCTGGCAACCACATACACCTAAAGCTTCATGCTCTGGCTCATGCTTATCAAAGTATAATAATAAAGAAGCATGCAGAGCCAGCTTAGTTAACAATTTATCTAACATGGAGATCTCAAGAATTTTCTCTATACCTCCATATTCACTGAACTGAGAAATGGATTTTTTTAAAAAATAAAATAAAAATAAAACTGAGTCTGGCTATACGCTGTCAGCTTGCAGACTGTTGGTGGCAGCAGAAAGAAAACCAGTGAGATAATGCTGGAGAGGTGTCCTCCTCATTGGGGTCTAGCAACTGGAGACCAGGGCCAACTGAATAAATCCAGCATCCCCCCATTAAAAACAAGAGCCTGCCGGGTCTGATATTGACCTTTAAAGCTGTACATGGCTTGGGACCAGAATACTTTAAGGACCACCTGCTTCCACAGGAACTTACCTGACCATTAGGGTCATCTATGGGGGCCTTGCTTGGGGAGCTCATCAATTGAGGCAAGGCATGTGGCAAAGCAAGAAAAGGGCTTCTTGGTCATGGAACAAAAACTTGTGGAACTCCCTCCCCAGGGAAATTCATTTCTCTTTTTTCATTGTCTTCTGCCAGTGGGTGAAGATTTTTTTAAAGTTTGGTGTTTTTTTATTGACTATCCCTGTTTGTTTTAAATGGTTGATTATAAATCTGTACTGTTTAAAGTTTATTTTAATGTATTTTAACCGTTTGATGTGTGTTTTAACTTGAGGGACCCTAACTGCGTGGAAAGGCTCATTACAAAAGTTTTAAATAAGTAAAATAAGTAAATAAAATAAATTTTCTCCTCAGCAGGATGCAGAGTGAAAGAGGGGGAGAGGAAAACAAAACATTGCTTCAGCTCCATACCAGGGTGTAGACAGTGCTCAGACAGTGAACTTCAGAGCCTGTCCCTCCAAACTGGGCATAAGGAATGGTGTCCAAAGAAAAAAACAACTGTAACTGTAGAAAGCCTCCTCCCTTTGCACAATCCCCCTCCCTTTAAACAAATGTTAAGAACAGGCTCTGAAAAGTCTAAACAGACCTGTGCCTCATTGAGTGAAGCAGGAAGACAACTACAAATTAGAGGGAAGATCCCAGGAGAAAGGGCCTAAGCCTAACTCAATGCTGACTGGACTCCTATTCGTGATGGCAGAGTAACATGCTAATATTTTCTTTCAAAGCTATTCTTTAAGAATCAGTTTGGGGCATACATAAAAAAACTATAAACAATCATGAAATTAAAGATTCATTAGGGTTGCCAAATGGCACTCACCTCCTTGGCGGGGGACTCCTGGGCAGCTCCCGGTGCGCGCGCACAAATCGTGCGTGCGCCGCATCTACGTCACCCGGATGTGACGTCATGACGCCGGGCATGCTGGGGGCGGGGCCACAGCCATTTCAGGGGGAAACTCTATGTTTTCCCCTCAAATGGCTGTGGCCCCGCCTCCAGCGTGTGACGTCACATCCGGGTGACGTGCACGTGGGGGTAGGGTTTCCCCCGACTCCGTGGGGGTGGAAATCGGGCCTCCAAAGCGGGGGGAAATCCGCCCCCGGGGGGATTTGGCAGCCCTAAGATTCATTAAAATTATTTATTATTGAGGATTTTTCCCTGTTTTAAAAGTATGAGACATCTTATTTGCAGTATGGCTAAACCCTACTACTGCAAGGCTTAGTGAAATGAAATGAGATACCAACTGTGATTATTAAGATATGGAAATACAAATAGGAAAACTGGACTTTTTAAAATAGAAGATTCTGTTACCACCAAAATGATGCAATCAGCAAGTTGATGCTTACAAGAAAACAAGAAAAGTTTTTTCAAGTTTGCCCCAGCTGCGTATGTGTACAAACCTAAATACAGGATCTCTTCTCATAAATTGGTTGCCGTATTTCATCTCCAGGTAACGTAATAAAAAGATGAAAACTATGCTTTGAAACAAAGGCTAAATAAAAACAGAAACAGACAATTACTTTACTAACTATACAGATTTATAATCAAGTTAATTTAAAATAATTTAATTATCTGCTTGCTTAAATTCCTCCAGTTTTGTAGGGTTGCCAGCCCCCAGGTGTGGGTGTGGGTTTCCCGCTTTTGGGGTTCCAATATGCCCCCGGTTAGCTGGCCAGCAGGGAGCCCTGCCCTCAAGCCCTGCCCCAAGCATGACCCACCTCCCAGCCACATCTCTACCTCCCCTCCTGCCAGAGTTAAAGGGCTTCAGCTGATCAGCGGGGACCACGTGGCCTGCCAATCAGCTAGATGGCCCTTTGAGTCTAGCAGGAGGGAGGGAGAGAGGTGGTTGTGGGCTGCACGCTTGGCTCACAAAAAGACTCTTTACAGGGTCTTTTTGTGCGTGGTGTGGGGCCATGGCACATGGGGCTGATTCCCCCCAAATCCCCCCACTGGAGCGAGGAGGGGTCTTGGAACCCTATAGTTTTGTGATTAAATGCTGGACAGTTAAATATCTCCTCTTTTTGTGCTGCTTCAGTTAACAAAAAGCCCCTGAAACGATCAGCTCTGGTGAGTGAGAACTGCCTTCAGGCAATTAGTCAAGGAAGCATTACAAAAGCTCATTTTCCTTTGTTCACTAGGTTACACAGCTAAGTGTAGGCAGCTAGACTAATAAACATATTAATAGCAAAGTACTACTGATCTTATGAACTTTAGAAAAGTGCATGATTTGAGGGATATGCATTCAGATATACCAGAGCTGAAGTTAAACCTAAAATGAGCGGTTTGGGATGGCTTTCGGATATTTAAAATGACCCTAAATACTCCAGAAATTCTGGGAGTAAGTAATATTTATCTCCTGGAACTTTGAGAGTTCTCTGGTCCCAGGGACAAATAGGAATATAGAGGGAGAGAAAGGAAAATAGCCCACTAAACAGCTGTTAGTTGGCATCTCTGTCCTTTTAAATTTTAAATGAAGTAGAAGCTTTGTTTAACAGCTAATGCCAAGTAACAGCTGATAATTGGGTAGAGGAGAGGCCAGGTTTCCTGCCATTGTAAATAATTGGACCATTATTTTCTGAGTTCTAGAAATGCCAAGTTGACCCC